TAGTGTTTCCTACGATTGAATAAGAAAAATCTCGGGTATTAATTAACGAAAGGGATTTGAAAGTTCTGAAATTGCTAAGAATCAAAATGTCTAGAGCCTAGCAAACGTGTGTTTCCTCTGGATGTTGAAGGAGCTGCCATATTTCGTCCTACTTCTAACGTGAGTGTTTAACAGCATTATAAATAACCGAACAGGGGAAGACATACACTTATGGGCATCTGTACTCATGTTACACGCACGCATTATCGCATGGGATTGAAAAAGAAGATGAACATCAGCAACTTGAGTTCCAGAACGAATAGGGATGGAAAGTAAAGAAAATAACAAGCAGGATAGGAAACAAATGTACACGTATATCTTCCTTTGCTCTAAAATAAACAAACAGGGGATGGACATGAGATAATAACAAGCACATCACTTTCCAGAGCAGCAGAGCATGACGGGTCAAGGAAGAAAAGTCTTCAAAGAAGGAACAGCAGAGCACAACAGGAAATAAGACAACGAAGGAGACAAAAAGAATGACCTTACTTGGCAAGGACAAGTGCTATGGAGTAGATCCAGAGATAAGAAGCAGACGAAGTAGATGACTGGCCGAAGTGCAGATCTGGTTCACATTGCAGAGATCGAGAGGCAATAAGGAGAAGAAGCACTTCGACGCAAGGACACGGTGGAAAGCTGGAGATCGACAAAAAAGACTAACAGAAGAGAGCTGGAGATCCACGACTGGCTGAAGGAAGCAGACGCTGGCCGAAGGAAGCTGACGAAGCTGACGACTGGCTGAAGGAAGCAAACAAAGCAGACGACTAGCCGGAGGAAGCAGATCTGGAAGTGTGTTTTGAAGCAGATTAGGAAGACGACTGGCCGAAGGAGACTGGCCGAAGGAAGTAGATCTGGAAGTGTGTTCACGGGTAAAAGCAACATGTACAGGAAGCAAGGAGCAGCTTGGGTAGCTAGAAGATAAGAGAGAGAAAGCAATAAATTTTAAAATGCATTTAATGCTTTAATGGGCAAACGTGAACGCTGAGCTTCAAAAGCCAGATCAGTTGGCTTTATAGATAATGTGCGTTTATCAGCTAATTGAGGTTGAAAAATTATGTTAATCCAAACAAATTTTTTTTAGTGTTTTGCATCTTAACCTCAGTTTCACCTATACTAACTGAAGTTACAGTATAATCCAAACATGTACTAGATTGACTATTGTTGGTACTATTGAGCTTATTGGAGGTTCCATTTTATATTCACGGGTACTCTTAGTTGGTAAACCAAGAGTTGAGGTAACTAAAAATTTCAATATAATATATTATTATGTCTACATTTACACTTTAAATATTATTATGGATGGCTTGAAATGAGCTTATGGATGAATATGTTGATTTTGAACAATTATCCAAATATGGAACATAACTCGTTATGATAAAATACTTGGTGATTATATTTATATAGATGTTATTTGGTATTTGAAATATGAATTGTGAGCTTATATTGGCTATGAGTTGATTATATAACGAGCCATTGTAAACTATAATGTAGTGTAAATTGTAATAAGTAAGTAAGTTCTAGAAATCATGAGGGTGATGAATTACTATGATATGCATGTGCTTATATTTGCATTTGTTGATTGAACTTGCATAATCATAATGGGTGGGAGTTCACCCTAGTATAGTAGAAGGATTATAATAGAAAATTGACGTGGTGTAGCCTTCATACTTCATTACTATTATGTGCTTAATATTGCTAACAATCAACGGGTATAACATGGGCTGGGCTCGATGCTTAGTATCACCTATCCTAGATTGGACTGTGTGGGTTGGGCACTTATAACACCTCGAAATTTGAGTAAGGCGAATCCATGGTTCAAGAGTAATTGTGGGAGCCTTTGGCCGAGTAACCCTTTACGATTGGAGAGTGGGGCTAGTCCAGTCACATGGGCTAGACCTATATGAGATAATAGCCCATGGATTTAGTTAGATGATATAAGGAGTGGTATAAGGCGATTGCATTTGATCATGCGAAGCACATTATAAAGATGCTTTGTGAATAATGTTAGTTTGCCTTATGTGATATTAAACGCTTAATTGTTGTGATTGTCATACTGATTGCCATGCTTTAATATGTTTGATTAAATTACTTGATTACTGAGATGTTTATCTCACTCTTGTAGTTTAATGTTTACAGGTCAGGATCAAGCTAAGGGCAAAATGGAGGCCTATAAAGCTAGAGACTGAGTAATTAATTGTAATATCTCTTGTTTTATCTTTTATGTGTGATTTGAATATAATATTTTTCAACTAGGGATCTTTTATATTAACTTATATTTATTTGAAGTATACTTGTATTTGTAACTTTAAAGTCATTTTTGGATTATCTTGGTTATAGTAGGGTCTAACCCCCTAATTTGACCATGATACTGTACCAAAATAGTTTAAACAAGTATATTTTAACTAATTAAATGAGTTTTACATGTTTTAGGTGATTATTTAACTTGAATGTAAATAATTACATTTTTACCCCCTCGTTATGTGCTTTATGGTGGTTGGGTGGTCAATTCTTGTATAAGGAGTTGTTTGGTGCTTGTGGTTGTTTAGACAAGTATATTAGATCTTATTAAGTGTGGTTCAAGCTCTTGTGGGGCTAATGAATTATAGTTTGAGATTTGGACACCTGGTTGATGGTTTTAGAAGTAAAAATATGAAAGTGTGGTCTCGAGTGTCCAAATTCTTCATTTGATGTTAGATTGATATAAAACTAAAACCGTTAGCTAGATTATGAATTGTTGATGTGTGGACACTTGAATCATCTCAATCAGATATCCAAGTTAAAAGTTATGCTCGTCGAAAGTTTACAATTGAGTAGTTGTCATGAGAGTTGCTATTATGATATCTTTGGCCGCAGCTAATAGATTATCGGCTGCAACCAAAGGACTTCTCAAGATTATTTGGCCACATTCGTGAGAGAATTGGCTACATCCAAAACTTTACTAGAAGTGTTGGCTGTGGCTTAATATTCTTTGATCATAGCCCTATTAAGCAAAAATGACCCTTTTTACTTTATTTTGATTTGTTTTCACTCTAATTATTTTTCATGCTTCCCAAACACTTTTTACTTTGATTTATAATGACTAAATAACTTTTAGATTTAATTTTGAGATTTAATGATTTATGAAATCTCATCTTTATGGGGTTTTCTTACTTAGACTTTTTAAATTTTTATGTAGTCAAAATTGATCATTTTCTTTCCATGATATTTTTTATTATTAAATTAGTTATAAATATTATGGTAGATCTGCCTTAAGGTTAACTATTTGCTAATTATGTGTTTAAAAATTGAAGGTTTTACAATAAGTTTAAAAAATGCAAATATATTTCTCCAATATTTCAACATTAATAAAATGAGAGTAAAATTGTCCATATATAATTATCTTTCCTCCTCTCTCCGCTTGAACTAAACAAGATAACATCAAACTCATCCTCTACTCTTAAACCAAACATACCTTAAGGGCTCATTTCCTTCTACCTCTCTTCTAGAACCATTTTCACATTGTCCCTAAGCTATTCTAACATACTTTAACATGGTATTAGTCATTGGGTATTAAGATTCCACTACCCATTTTCCAAATCACCCAAATACTTAACATTTAACTTAGGGTTTTGCTATGTTTTCCATTAATCCATGAAAAACTACTATCCAAACTCATAGAACACTTAAACAATTTCAAATAAACCATCAAAATTCAATTCAATCACTAATAATAATATTTTTTTTATTTTAATAATAATAATATTTTTAATAATAAATACTGAAACGATCATTTCATTTTAAGATTTTGTGCTTAAAAATAAGTCTAACTGTAATATTTTTTTAAATTTGTTTTGGGCTATTCCCTTTATTTAGAATTGTAAGATACTTTTAATTAATGATACATTCTAATAAGTTAGTTAATGACATTTAAAATTGCAAACTCTTTTAGTCTTATTTATAAGTCACTTTTAACATATTTTGCTGTAACCAAGAAATATATTTAAACTTATTAACTATGTCTTAAAATTTAATAAATTATTAACTTTGTCCTTATTAAATATGCATATTTTAACAACATATTATTGTCTCTCCAACATTCAATAGAGGGTAAAATAGAAAATTTAAGTTAAAAATTTAATGAGGTGATTTATAAATATAATAAAAAAATATTCTCTCTACCTTATAAATAAGATTAGGAGTATTCTTTTACTGTTTACTTTTATTAATATGGTGTTTTAATTAAAAAAAACTTTACTCCTTTCTTTAAAAAATGTTTTAATTTTTTAAAGGGTTGAATGTATAAAAATATAAGTCATTTTTAGTCTTTTAAGGTGTAATTATTATCTTTGTCCAAAAGTATTTCTATTAAATAAATCACTTTATATTTATTTTAATGTTAAACACCTTATTAAATAGAGATAAATGTGAAAATATATAGTTAGTTTAAAGACAAGTAACTATTTTATTGAAAGTGAGATTCAGTTAAAAATGTTTTATTTTTTTAATAGAGTGAGTATTATTTATACCTCTAATTAAAGATATTTTCTTAATAAAATTTGATTAATTATATCTTAAAAAGATAAAAAAATACCTTATACTGGTATTTTTGAACATGATTATTTAAAAATGTGCATTATAATATTAAATGGAAGGAATATCTCGCGGTTCTTGCTAACAAAAAATTAATTAGATTCATTTATTATGAAAATCAAGGAAATTGACTTGATTATTTTTGGAATTTATTTTGAGGGGAAAAATAAATTTCCCACACGCACGCATCCTCATTCTTCCCTTTTGCTCTTTTTCCTTTCCAAACAATCAAAAGTTGACTCTGGCAAATTGGAGCTCCTGTGGTCCCCACTTGCGTAAAAACGACCGTTGCAGTTCCCTAGTTCCGCCCTCGTACTGCTCGCGCAGTTAAGTGCCCCACTCAGCTCAGCTTTCCTCATTCAAATTTCAAAATTTCAAATACTCAGAGCAGAGAAAAGCAAAGCTGCCATTTCACTCTCCACCTCACATCACATATCATTCATCCCTCTCACAAATTCAAATTGGAGCTTACAAGCTTCAATGGAGTTGAAGTTTCAATCCTAAGAGGAAATCACACCATTGTTATTCTCTGTTAGTTCTCAAGTTTCATTCACAATGGGAGAAGAAAACGTAGCAGAGAAGAGGTCCAATACCAAGGGTCCGTCAAAATTTGCCGATCAAAATCAGAATCCAAAGCTTCAAAATGCGAAAGGAAATTCGAATCACTCGAAACCTAGGTTATCATCTTCCTGGGGAGCACACATTGTCAAAGGCTTCACCGCAGACAAGAAAACGAAACCGCAAGCGACGGCCCCGAACAAGAAACAACCTCTGGCGAATTCAGTAGCAGTGCCCACTCATTCAAGAGTCAAGAGATCTCTCATCGGTGATTTGTCGTGCTCGATGCATGTTGCTCAGGTTTATCCGAATCTGACGCATCGGAGACAGTCGTCGACGGACTTGTTTACTGAGTTGGATCATATGAGAAGCCTTCTTCAAGAATCGAAGGAGAGAGAGTTGAAGCTGCAAGCAGAACTGTCTGAGTGTAAGAGAAATCAAAAGGAGCTTGAAGATGATAAAACTAAGCTTGCTGAGCAGTTAGCTGCTTTAACAACATGCGTTTCAGAAAGACAAGAAGAACAAGAGGTGAAAGGAGTCCTCAAGGATAGTACTCAGAATCTGGAGCTTGAGGTTGTTGAATTGAGGCGATTGAATAAGGAGCTACAGATGCAAAAAAGGAACCTCACTTGCAGACTCTCTTCTTTGGAGTCTCAGATGTCTTGTCTTGCTAAATCTTCAGAGGTAATTCTCTAGTTCACTGTTGCTTCGTGAGATATAGATTTTCTCTCTATTAATCCCTTATTTTTCAAACAGAAAGGCAAATTTTCGATTAAGCTGACTTGCTTAACATAAATCTAATTCTTCACTATTTAATACACTCAGTGTCTCGATCGAGAGGAAAAATATTAAAATAGCGGCATTCTGTTCTATCTTGTTGTAGAAATAGTTATTCCCAATTACATTCGTTAATTTCTTATGTTCGTTTTGGCAATTCTTTTCCGTTTGTAGAATTTAAACTCCTGAAGCGCACATTCTTTTTTGCAACATTGCATTGTCCTTTGTCTTGGCAGAGCTGAGAAATTTATTTAATGTATATAAAATTTACTTACGAAAATTTCATGTCTCTCCGCTTTAATAGTTGATTTTCCCCACTGCCACGAGTTAATCTTCCACAGTTATTAATTTTACATACGTGCATATTGAGATTTTTTTTGGCCCATGTATACTGAGTTAGTTTGTCAAAGTAAAGTAAACATCCACTATTTTAACCAGAAAAGAAGGAGGAGGAGTAAACATCCACTATTGTAAGGGAATAACAAGTATGCATTGAGTTTCTCAGTATATTGGACTAACTCGAATAGAGGAATGATTTTGGTAGGTTTTTATGATCCAAATATTGTATTTACTCAAAAATTTGCTAAAGCCTAAAGGGAGATTTTTTTCGTTTTGTTTTCCTGATATAACATCTTTTCACCCTGCATTTTCGCGATGCTTGTAATCAGAGTGATATTATAGCGAAAATCAAAGCCGAGGCATCATTGCTCAGACTGACAAATGAAGATCTGTGCAAGCAAGTAGAAGGTTTACAAATGAGCAGGTTAACTGAGGTTGAAGAACTTGCCTATCTAAGGTGGGTAAATTCATGCTTAAAAAACGAGTTGAAGAATTCATCATGCTCAACGCCTGATTCTGTTGATAAGCCTTCCTCATGCCCTCGCTTATTCGAGAATAGTGTAAATAGTTTCAATTTAATGAAGCCGCCAAAGAAATGGCCCATAAGTAGTGACCATTTGTCACAAGTAGAAGAATGCCCAGATAGTCTTATAGGGAGAAGCCCCAGAAGAAGGCACTCTATTAGTGGATCGTCAAATTGTTCAGAGGAAGACACCGCATTAAGTAAGAGGAGACAATCTGATTATTTCTTATGCACAAAAGAAATGGAAAAACAATCTGATTTGGAGATTGTCCAAAGGCCACAATGTTTGGGGAGCTTCCAAGAAGCAAACAAACTTTTGGCTTCTTCAGATGTTGAGAAAAGGGCCTTGCGTATTCCTAATCCACCTCCAAGGCCATCTTCATATTCTATGTCTAGTAATTCAAAACAAGAAAATACCAGTCAAGTCCCACCTCCACCTCCTCCTCCTCCTCCACCACCACCACCTCTGAATTTTGCACAGAGGAGTAGTAACACAGGAGGGATGGTGAAACGAGCTCCACAAGTAGTGGAATTGTACCATTCACTCATGAAGAGAGATTCTAGAAAGGATTCTTCAAATGGTGGACTTTCCGATGCACCAGATGTTGCTGACGTTCGTAGCAGCATGATTGGAGAAATTGAAAACCGCTCGTCACATTTGCTTGCTGTGAGTAATTTCAACTTTTCATGTTCCTTATTTGGGTTATAGTGCTTTCTTTCTTGTAGTTTTTGAAAAGTATTAAGTTGTTCGTTCTTATTATTATTTTTACATTGCATTAAATTTTTTAAATGGGAGTGACCATTTGACTTTTTAGCACTTTGAATATGGTTAAGATTAACAATTAACAAAATGCTTAAAGTAGATGTTTACCCAAAAAAAATGCTTAAAGTAGATGATTGAAAATCACTCACGTGTGGCGTCACATGCTATCTAAGATTAGTGATTTAAGTGAATTATCATGAACCTTATACATTAGAGTATCTAAATAACACCTGGTTGAATATGTTGGGATAATTTAAGAAAGGTTTGAAAAGAGAGGGATCACTTTTAATTTTTTAAAACTAAAATCATCCAATACAAGCTTTTAAACAACACGAACTAAACTAAATTTTGGTTGAATTTTTAAGACCAAAAAAGTATGGTTTTGAGCATCAGCACCGGGAGAAGTGAAATCTCGGGGATTTAATAACAGATTTATCAAACCATTTCAATGTCTTGGAATTTTGATTTGATGAACGCTCTGCTTTACATTAGTGTATAACTGTTCATTATCCATTGGTATGTAGATAAAAGCAGATGTTGAGACACAAGGGGAATTTGTAAATTCTTTGATTAGAGAGGTAAACAATGCAGTTTATCAGAACATAGAAGATGTAGTGGCATTCGTGAAGTGGCTGGATGATGAACTCTGCTTCCTCGTAAGATATTTCATTCATTTGAATGTGAAAGAAAGTACTTCTGTACGTTCTTGTCTAATTATACTGGTTTTGATCATGCAAACTCTTAGGTGGATGAGAGAGCAGTCCTAAAGCATTTTGATTGGCCAGAAAAGAAAGCTGACACATTACGAGAAGCCGCGTTCGGATACAGAGATCTGAAAAAATTGGAGACTGAAGTGTCGTCTTACAAGGACGATCAGCGGCTACCTTGTGATATTTCTCTAAAGAAAATGGTTGCATTATCAGAAAAGTATTCAACTGAATATCTGTGGGAGTACAAATAAGTCCTGTATAGTACATAATTTAGCCATTATTGAGCTCATTCAATTTTATGCTTGTTTCCCCTGTCAGGATGGAGCGTACTGTTTATAACCTTCTCCGCACAAGAGACTCTTTGATGCGCAACTGCAAGGAGTTCCGAATCCCTGTAGAATGGATGCTTGATAACGGAATCATTGGAAAGGTACATCATACTTTTCATCTGTCTACATTAACATGCGAACAATGACTTTGACATGACACCTTGCTTGTGCCATTTATATAAAATGAAAGCATTACCAATGTCAGTATCTGTTGGACAGTGTTTCCTGGAAAAGGGTTTATTAGCAGCAATGAAGTCAAGATATTTAATTTTAAATAATAAGTCTTATCAACAATAATATCAATAATAAATCTTATTATGTGCAATAGACATATACTCTCTTCATTCCCAATCATAAGACGCTTTCAACTACTTTACAAAAACCGAGAAATTAAAAATAAGAAGAGAGAAATATACAATACATGATAAGTCATAAAATTAAATTTACAATAGGGTTGGAATTGAAAAATAATAATAAATAAATAACCTTCCATGTGCCTTGTATTAAAGACTAAATAATCCTTCTAAAAAATGTTCTATAATAGAATAGTATGAAGTATATATATGCAACACTTACAAGATATGACAATATTGTTGCAAAAAAAAAAAAAAATATGACTGAGCATTTGTATTTACATTTGAAAATTATATATTTTGTCACATGCAATGGTGTATGTGTATATATATATGTATACTGTATCGTGCCTTATATTTGTATGTATGTATATATGTATGTATGTATGAAGTCAAGATATTTAATTTTAAATAATAAATCTTATTAACAACAACATCAATAATAAGTCTTATTATATGCAATATACATGTACTCTTTTCATTCTCTATCATAAGGCATTTTCAACTACTTCACAGCCGAGGAATTAAAAATAAGAAAAGAGAGATATACAATATATGATAAGTCATAAAATTAAATTTACAATAGGGTTAAATTGGAAAAATAATAATAAATAAATAACCTTCCATGTGCTTTGTATTAAAGACTAAATAATCCTTCTAAAAAATGTTCTCTAATAGAATAGTAGGAAGTATATACATGCAACACTTACAAGATATGACAATATTGTTGGAAAAAAAAAAAAGATATGACTAAACATTTGTATTTACATTTGAAAATTATATATTTTGTCACATGCAGTGATGTGTGTGTATGTCTGTATATTTACTGTATTGTGCCTTATATTTGTATGTATATATATGTATATATGTGCGAATTCAAGATATTTAATTTTAAATAATAGATCTTATCAACAACAACATCAATAATAAGTCTTATTATATGCAATATACATATACTCTCTCCATTCCCTATTATAAGGCGCTTTCAACTACTTCACAGGAACCAAGGAATTAAAAATAAGAAGAGAGAGATACACAATATATGATAAGTAATAAACTTAAATTTACAATAGGGTTGAAATTGAAAAATATCAAGATATTTAATTTTAAATAATAAATCTTATGAACAACAACATCAATAATAAGTTTTATTACATCCAATATACATATACTCTCTTTATTCTCTATCATAAGGTGCTTTCAACTACTTCATAGGAACTAAGGAATTAAAAATAAGAAGAGAGAGATACACAATATATGATAAGTCATAAAATTAAATTTACAATGGGGTTGAAATTGGAAAATAATAATAAATAAATAATCTTCCATGTGCTTTGTATTAAAGACTAAATAATCCTTCTAAAAAATGTTCTATAATAGAATAGTAGGAAGTATATATATGCAAAACTTACAAGAGATGACAATATTGTTGACAAAAAAAAAAAAAGGATACAATCTGAAAATTTGTATTTACATTTGAAAATTATATATTTGTCACATGTAGTGGGGGGTGTGTGTGTATGTATGTATACTGTATCGTGCCTTATATTTGTATGTATATATATATGTATGTATGTGTGAAGTCAAGATATTTAATTTTAAATAATAAATTTTATCAACGACAACATCAATAATAAGTCTTATTATATGCAATATACATATACTCCCTTCATTCCCAATCATAAAGCGCTTTTAACTATTTCATAGGAACCTAGAAATTAAAAATAAGAAGAGAGATATACAATATATGATAAGTCATAAGATTAAATTTACAATAGGGTTGGAATTGGAAAATAATAATAAATAAATAACCTTCCATGTGTCTTGTATTAAAGACTAAATAATCCTTCTAAAAAAATGTTCTATTATAGAGATAGTATGAAGTATATAAATGCAACACTTACAATATATGACAATATTGCTGACCAAAAAAAAAATGACTAAACATTTGTATTTACATTTGAAAATTATATATTTTGTCACATAGAGTGGTGTGTGTGTATATATGTATGTATACTGTATCGTGCCTTATATTTGTGCAAGAACTAATGTTTCTAAGATGATTTGAGTTTAGCATGTCACTCAATCTGACATGAGAAGATCCGGTCTTGTCCGGTCCTATTAAAAGCTGGTTCTTTAAGACTGAAAAGACTAAAAAGATCAGACTATTTTTTTGAGTTGGATTGGATAGGAGATTGGGTATTTGGACCACTTGGTCTAGTCTGGTCTTATTAAATTTATTTAATATGATTATAATTAATTTACTAATTATTTATAATAATAAGTTAAGACTATTTAATAGGTCTAGTTTCTGGCACGGTCACATACTCAGACTAATAATTTAATAATCTTGACCAATTGGATTGTAACTAAAATATTTTTTTTTGTTGTTGGAAATTATCATGGATTTAATGATTATAAGTGTTTTTATTATCTTAATTAAGTTTATTAAGTTGAAATGGATTATTGCCTCTCATAGAGGGAAAAAAAAAGTGAGTAAGTACTGGACTAACAGGACCAGTCTTCCAGTCCTATGAACCAAATTCGGTCCTGTTAATCTTTAGGTTATCACTGAACTATACCAGATTACAGGTTACCTAACCTAATCCTTTTCATGAAAGAGACTAGACTTCGGGTTAGGTTGAAATTTAGTTCCGTCCCATCTTTTGTGCAGCCCACATTACTTGATGACGCAAGCTTGAAAAGTGAAGACCATAATGGTCTATCTTTTTTTTGATAACACCATAATGAGATCTAAATGGAAATGAAATGCTTATTTTCTACCAGTACATGCAATCACATCAGTACTAATACACGTGATCCCATTGGAACTTCACAATTAACAGTGTTGAAGCGAGGTTAGTATTAAGATGAGTGACCTTTTGAAAAGTCCATCTGTCCATGTATTGCTATTCTTTTTTTCTTTTTTTTGGGAAGTATATCACAAATGATGCATATAGCTTCAAATAACATCTAGAATTTTAAGTAAGAAACATGGAAACTGGACTCCTTGGGCGGTGGAAGGATGAATTGTTTCTGGTTTAGAGAGCTTCAAACGACACTAAAATTTAATGTTGCAGATAAAGCTAGTCTCAGTTAAACTGGCAAAAAAGTATATGAAAAGGGTAGCTATGGAACTTCAAACCAAGGCATCAACAGAAAAAGATCCTGCAATGGACTACATGCTTCTCCAAGGAGTGAGATTTGCGTTCAGAATCCATCAGGTTCATTCCCTCTTTATTTTGGCAACTATCCAGTATTATTTTAAAATTAAAAGTGATAAATGTGAAAAAAGTTATACCTTTAAATTTTTAAATTTTAACTGTACAAAACAGTTGACATTTTTGAAGTATAGTTTTTTCTCATAGTTAAATTCTTCCTTGCAATTATCATTAACTCTAAAAAAATTCCTGTAAACAAAGGGATTGTTGGGAATCCACATACGAGAGACGATGAATCATTTCATTTTATTTGCTGTATCTGATTATTATTTTCATTTACTTTAATTTATTCCTTGATATTGCTCAATTAACACCATAAGGACAAAAATGGTTGTACTTGGAATAAATAAATTAGACTGACCACTTACTTGTCTCTAATTGAATTTTGGGGCACCACATTCCTTATTGAGTAAATTAAAAATGCTGCTTAATCTACATTACATGTTATTTTTCTTATTTTCATTTTATATGTTTTTTTTATTTTTATCCTGTTTGAAACACGGATGCTATATTGTATATTTAATCATTGTTATGGAGACTTCTGGATTTTGCCATGTCATTCTTTTTTTTTCCCCCCCTTTTGTATGCACATGTTTTGCTTATGAAGCACCAATATTTTAATTTGCTTAACTAATCTGTGTTGGCATCGTATCCAATACTGATATGCGTTGAAGTGCTAATGTTTTCCCACTTCATTTCTGAATACAGTTTGCTGGGGGATTTGATGCAGAAACAATGCATGCGTTTGAAGAACTTCGCAATCTTGCATGTTTGCTTAACAAAACATAAGAGAAGGGAACAGGTGGCTATGGCTTGAGCTTACCTTCTCAGTAAGCTATGAGAATACAAATTATAGTGGATTTGATTTCACGTTATAAACTATTGAAACTATAGTTTTGGTGAAAGCAAGTAATTACTTGTTATCATCCAAACTATGGTTTTAATGATTTCTAAATATAAAACCAAACACGCTATCAAATTTCGTGGGTTTGGTTTTTGTTTCCACATCCCTTGAAAATTATAAAAAGAAAGGGGAAAATTTTGTTTTATATTTTCGAATCTTTTGAATAGATCTCCCTCAGGTGTTGATTGGAAATTTGCTGTAAGATTCGCATGGCTTTTTAGAATGACTATTGATTAAGTTGTGCAACACCAATGGGTGGATTTGGTAAGTGCGCTTTTTGGTTTTAATTTTTGTTGTATGCTCAAAAGAGGGAATATCATAATGTTGCGGTTAAAGTTCATGGAATTATATATGAGCATAAATAAAGAGTTTGGCCTTTTCTTCAATATTCATAATAATATAGATGTAAATTGGGATGGAAATATAATTTTTTAATTCAAAATTGTTTAAAAATAATTTAAAATAATTATAAAATTAAATTATTATTAATTATCACTTTTAATTACAATTTTAATAATGTTAATCTAAATACATTTATTACGATACATGTTAAATAAAGAGTTTGGCCTTTTCTTCAATATTCATAATAATATAGATGTAAATTGGGATGGAAATATAATTTTTTAATTCAAAATTTTTTAAAAATAATGTAAAATAATTATGAAATTAAATAATTATTAATTATCACTTTTAATTACAATTTAATAATGTTAATCTAAATACACTTATTACGATACATGTTAAATTACCCATTAACCTTGTAATTCAAAAATTACTCTAATGGATTTTATAAGTGACCTAAATACCCTTATTATAACCGTTAGATTTAATCAAATATATAAAAATTATTAAGATACATGTTAATGGATAAATGAGCAATTTACTCCTTAAATTTTAGATTTAGTAGAACCATAAATGCTAAACTTATTTATTATGCAAATTATTTCTCCAACTTTAAAAAATCATGCATTCTAGCCTCTTCTATTAATTTTGACTATTAGTTGATTAGAAAATAATAAAAAAACCTCAAAAATTATAAAAAAGAATAAAAAATTACATACAAGAACTAAAAAAAGTAAAAAAAAAAGGACCAAGTTTTTTATTATTTTTTTAATTTTTAAATTTATTTTTTAGATAACTAACATTTAAAGTTAACTTATGTTAATGATAAGATTCAGATTGTATGTTCTTCAAAAGTTGATAGAACATTTATATAATAAATGAGTTAAAAACCTGTGGAGCAACTAGACCTAAACTTTAGAAAATAATTTGCTTACTTACATTTCAAAAATTCAAACCAATTAATACAATTAGAACACTTTTTACTTATGTTATCGCCTCCATCAATATGAGACTTGATATTTTTAAGTATAATATAACAAAATCTTTGATAGTTGTTCGATTAAATTAGAGTTGGCTTCAATTTGCTGAGGGAATCCTCCTCCAAATTTAATCTAGATTTAGTATTTTTAATTTAAATATAAAAATTGTAATTTTTTTAATAAATATGCTTATCAATCTGACAGTCCAGATTTAATATAAATGGTTCAAATTTAATATTAAAAATTTAAATTAGCTTTTCATATATATTTTGGACAGTGCAAATATACTCTAGACAAAGCAATACCTTTATTAAAAAATTTTAATATTAAATTTAGACCATTTATATTAAATTTAGACTATCAGATTGATAAGCATACTTATTAAAAAATTTATAATTTTTATTTTTAAATTAAAAATATTAAATCTAGATCATCCAAATTAAATTTAGACGACCCAGATTTGCCTTTGCCTCAGTAGAGAGGCAGAGTTGAGGGAAGCTGACTCCATTACCATTGAGATTTCAAGTTTTCATAAGCTAATCAATCATCCCAAACATGTCATAACCAAAAATTAGAGTTGAAAACCTTTATGGAAGCATGCAAATCCAAATTGAGTCAAGCATTTGCAAAAGTTGGGAAAACATCATTTTTTACAAAATAACATGATGCACCACAGTGCATTGCACATGTTTTTATGGATAAAGGTGCATTTTTATCTTTGAAATATTTTTCGAAGAGCACCTAGCACCTTAACATTTTTATTGGAATAATTTTACCCTTAACATTTTCAAAACAGATCATTTTTGCTCTTTTTGACAAAATTTCAAAGTTGACATCAAACATTAACAATTAAAAAAATTTGACAGAAAGAGAAAAAATGCTCTGTTTTGAAAACGTTAAGGGCAAAATTGCTCCAATATAAATGTTAGGGTGTTTGGTGCTTCTTGGAAAATACTTCAAGGATAAAAATGCACCTTTATCCTTTTTTAGCAGAGTTGTCTCATGACAACTCCTAGGGCGAACTTCCAACGAGCCCCATTTTTCTGTCCGACATCCGATTAAAATGATCTAAATGTCTTTAGAGAGCTTTCTTCAAACTTTAGTTAATGGCACTAAATTTCCAATCAAATCATTTTTCAATCAAAAGTTGAACACCCATTGTGAAACTTACTTCCTCTTAACAATGTCATGCAACTCGAGTGTCCAAACCTCTATTCAAGTGCTAAGAGCTCACACTAATCTTTAAACCACCTTCAATGGACTATAATGGAGTTATGAATATCACATTTTCAATGCTCAATCCTTGATCATAAAAATATGAGAGGGAGTCAAATATTCATAAATCAACATATAAATTTCTATATTCATTCATTTACACAACTTCCTACTTACACTACTATTTTGTCCCTATTTAAATTTTACAACATTAGAACATACAATCTAGGATATAAAATACACATTTCAATTAGTTTAAAAAGTAATGCAAGCACCAAAAGCATATGAAATCTTAGTGGGAAATTATCAATGAAAATATATGTAAATAAACTATGAAGCCTACTAATAGGATTTCCTTTGAATCCTAAACCTCTGGTTGTTTTCCACATTCCTAATCTAAAGAGCTAGTTCATGTGATACTGAAGAATGGAGGGTGAGTAAGACCACCCAGTAACCAAGGTTAATATAACCTATACAAATGATTGTTAATTAATTATATATGTAAATAGCAATTACCTTATTTTTTCATAAATATTGTGTATTTTTCAAAAGGCTGTTATGATCACAATACTAAAAATCATGTGGCCAGACATAAACACATATCATCTCATAATATGTATAAATAATAATACATATATGGAGTCACAATAATAACAACCATGTGCCCTTATCAAATCAGGTCGGATTATAATAATAACAACCATATGGCCGAAACATGAAATGCATGATCAATATCAACTTTATACCTTTCTAATACCTTTGACATGAAATTGGTGGCTATTTAATAGCATGTCTATAAACTTGTATTAACCAAGCCTTCTGCTAGTGAGGAGTTTCCTAGCCAAGGCTACATCACTCATTTGTGATTTGCGATTTCCCCTAATACTAACAACAATAGGGCCTTATATCTTAATTTAGCCTTCTCATGAATCGGTAGAGACTAATTAGATTTGTGCCCCTCGAAGAACAAGTGGAATAGTCCCTTATCAATCATGAGACAATAACTACCTTCTGATTCCAACAGGTCGACAGTCTGACTAGCTTTCAATTACAATAGTAAGCCACCATTATCACGTAGATTTATCACATTACTCCTCTTCCTATTGTATGTGTGTCAAAAGTATGTGTGTGTCAAAGTCCCATATTGACTAAAAGAAGGACTTTCCTAGTGTATATATACTAAGGAACGAAGTAAGTTAGTAAAATAGGCTTGGAGGAGAAGTAGCCTCGCGCACATGAGACAAGCCAATAAGGGCAATCGCAGTTGAAATTAGCTGATTCGACCCCATGCGCGTGAGTTCAAGAGGCAATGGGTTCCTTTTACTGGGTTATTTTTACAAAAAATAATTAAATAAATAATTATTTTTAGCTTACCCGAAAAACCTTTGGTTTTACTGTTTTGAATTTGAATTTGAAGCCTTGACAGTTTTTTCAGCATTAAGCCTCTTCTGAAAACTAATTTTGTGAGTTAATGTCCTAAACGTTTTTGTCTGCCAACATCTTCAGATTAACCAATTTTGTGAAGTTAATATCTTAAACGTTTTGTCTACCAACATTTCCAGACAGAGGCTTAACTGTGATTTACGTCTGTATAACCCCCCAGATAAGTGTTTAAACGTGATTTATGAGAGTGTAACCGAAGCTTTAATCCGGTGATTATGAGCCAACGTTCTTGTCTCTATCTTCGGGCTATATATAGCCATGAGTGCAAATAAACAGAGTACCAGCCTCTTGAGTTTTCAAAACAATTCTCTCCTCACTCTGCCTTTTGCTCTTATGTTCGTCTTTTTGTCTGTGTTTTCTTTTTAGTCTCTATTGTTCTATTCCCTTACTCTACTGTAGGAAGTGCTTGTTTAATCTTGGGAAACTACCGGTTATTAGGAGTGCCAGAATAGTTCTTAACGACAGTGTCCTTCCAGGCACGACTCAAGCAGTTCGTAGTTCGCCATTCACGTTTACTACCAGTGCCACTAACAATCTTAAGAACTATTCAACCCAATGGCAACCAACAGTGCTAAGAATGTCACTCCTGAAGGTGTGCCCAGTGGTTCGGTAGGAGGTCAGTATGTCCCTGTCGCTGTTGCCGTCCCCTTACCGAGGCTATTCCCAGACATATCAAAGATAGAAGTCTTTAACGGTAGGAACTTCAAACGCTGGCAGGAACGAGTCTTCTCCATTCTTGACATGCATGGTGTAGTGTTAGTCTTGCTTAATCCGAGCCTCCTGCTGATACTGATCAAGCCCAGAGAGTTACATAGACTCATGCAAACAAGGTATGCCGACACACTATCATTAGCACTTTATCTAATGATTTGTTTGATGTCTACTATGTCTATAAGGAAGCTTGTAAGATATGGGAGTCCTTAGTGATAAAGTATACTACTGAGGATGCCGGCAAACAAAAGTTCATTGTGGGCAACTACTACAAATGGGAGATGACCGAGAGTAAGGATATAAAGGAATAAATCAATGAATATCATAAGCTGTTGGAGGAGCTTCATGCTGAAAACATCAACCTTTCAGATGAGTTCGTTGCTGGGATCCTGATTGAGAAGCTGCCAGATGGTCTGATTACAAACAGTAGCTGAAACACAAACATAAGCAGCTATCCTTGACTGACCTGATCACTCACATCATCATCGAAGACACTAACTGCAATATAATACGTGTAGCTCGAATAAGAGAAATGACATCTAAAGCTAACCTGGTGGAGACAAAGCCTCACAATAAGATGTATGATTCTAAAACTAAAGACAAGAAGAATAGGAAATCTAATTACAAACCCAATGCTTCTAACCCCTCTTTCAAGAAGAAAGGAGACTGTTTTGTCTG